GTGTGTGCGTGCATGCACGAGAGAGAGAGAGAGAGGGGGGGGGGAAGAGGGAGGGAGAGAGAGAGAAAAGCAGAGGGAGATTTTGCATGCACACAGAAAGGAAAAAGTCACGTGAAGATGCAGGAAGATATTATTGTGATGAAGTTTTAAAGTCAAGAAAAGAAGAACTCCAAGCCGCTACCAGAAGCTGAAAGAGGCAAGAATTAAGTTCTCCCCTATAGCCTCTGGAGGGAGTAAAGCCCAATCAACATCTTGATTGTAGCTAAGTGATATTGATTTTGGACTTTTGGACTCCAGGACTATGAAAGAATACTTTTTTGTTATTTTAAGCCATGCAGATTGTGATAATCATTTATAGCAGTCATAGGAAACCAATGTAGACTTTGGTACCAGGAAGTGGGGTACTGTTGTAACAGATACCAAAAATGTGGAAATAATTTTGGAATTGAACAATGAGAGACTAAAAGAATTTTGAGAAACACAGTAAGAAAAGCCTTGATTACCTTGAACAGGCATTTGGTAGAAATAAAAGTCTTCATTAAAGACTTGATCCAGGGAGGGTGGAAGAGGCCCTTTACAGAAAACCAGTATCAGCTCAGAAAATGCATATGTAGGTGCTGGGCATAATGTAGTTCAGTGGTGGAGTGCATATGTAGTGCATATGTAGTTCAGTGGTGGAGTGCTTGCCTAGCATGTGTGAGGAACTGGGTTGAATCCTCAGTACCACATACAAATAAACAAATTAAATAAAAGGTATTATGTCCATTTACAACTAAAAATACTTTAAAATTTCATAAGAAAAAGAAAATGCATATATAATCATAAGCAAAATACTGGTATAGGAAAATATTAACAGTACTATTTTGGCATAACCTCAGAAGGAAATGTAAAGCATGTTTTTAAGAAACTGGGGGAAAACAGATCATAGATAGATAGATATACAGAGTAGCAGAGAAATGAGATGAACTGTCCACCAGTTATACGGAAAGCAGAACTTGTAAGTGGTAACTTGAACATTTAGCTGAGATTTCTAAGTAAAGCATTGAAGGTAGAACCTGGTTTCTTCTTAAGGCTTATAGTAAAGTGTGAGAAAAAAAGATAAATTGAGGAAAGAACTGTTAGGCAAAATGAAATAAGCACTTGGTGATTTGGGAAATTATGACTATCTAGATTGGAAAAAATGATAACATCTGGAGATTAACTGTAAGAAAGTATGCTCTAGAGAGGCCAATGGCATGACTGGAAAACTTTTTGCTAGTACTAAAGAGGCTAGGTATGTGATCCACAGACCCACTCAACCATGTCAGCAGAAGCCAATAATATAGATGGGATTATGGAAAGATCTGCAGAGGATCCTCTTGTCCATTGTGTATATTCTTTAAATATAGTTGGGAGATTCGCAAGTTTTTTTTAACGCTGTGCCAGCAAAAACACTGTACCCTTGGACTGAAAAAGAATGAAATGAAAAACTGCTTAATTCTACAGGCAAGAAACAGGTGAAAACCACTCACCTGCAAATATATGCTACCTTTCAAAAGAAAAGGAAGGATAACACCAAACGCAGAGCCTCAGGCCAACAGATAGCAATGAATGGAGACTGACAAGTGGCTGTGATATAATAGAGGCAGACTAGCTAGAAGCTTAACGTACAGTCAAGGAGAGTCTGGCTAAAACTACAGTCATCCTGGTAGTCCAGAGGACTGTGTATGCCCAAGTCTGTGTCATCTGAGACACCAGAGAGCGAACTTCTGAATGAGCAATCTCTGGATGAATGCAGACCAAACTCATGTACTTCCTGAATCGTGAACACAGTCTATAGGCCACACTAAATCCAATAGTAAAAGGTGAAAACTTGACCCACTGAGCCTAGTCAGGCCCAGGACAGCTCCGCCAACACCCGCAGAGCCCATACTGGGTCTGAGCTGCATCTTTGAACACATCACCCAATGCCACTGCCTGGGTCCCTCCTACCCAACTTGACTTGACACTCCATCACTAAAAGCAGCCACCTCCATCTTGGGACACCTTCATGGCCATCTTTAGTTGTGGAGACTCCCAGCTTGGAACATGGGCTGGGCAGGTATCCATAGTCCCCATATCCCCCTCTCCCTGGCAGCCAGCCACTAACCCCACCCAGTGACTTCCCAATACAAAACAGCTCTCCAAGACAGGTTTACAGCCCCTAGAGCACAACCCACAAGACCTCCTGAGAAAAAGGTCTCCAACCAGGAAGTAGAAAGTGAGAGGGTGAATGAGACATGGTTTAGAGACTAGAGTCCAGAAACTGTGAGGTCTACAAGCAATATAAGGAGATAAGACCAGGCTACCACATCACACAAGTGGACCCCAAAGGAGATCCTTGGGGTACAGGCTTATTAGGGACCGGCTGGTGCCATACTCCACTTCCAGGGGCCCTGAACCCAAGACCAACCCTCCCACCCTGGAAACCTTCAACATAGTGAGGGTGGAGATACCAGCAAGTAACAGAAAACACCACTTATTGGATGAGAAGAGAAGCAATAAAGATACTGAACTCCAACAAAAACAATCCTTGTTTCTTCCTTTAAGACCGCCCCCCCCAAAACCTATTTTCCCATGCTCACATTTAACATTTGTGAAACCAAGTACTCTGCATTAATTAGGATACTGAGGACTGGGATGTCTGAATAGTATATTACAGTTGTGTTATATATTCTTTTATTTCATATTTTTATATTTTTATTTTCTTAATACTTATGTTTATTTATTTTATATACTCTTTTGTCTTCCCACTTACTTGTTTTCCCAAAATCACTTCCTGTCTCTTCCCCTGATACTAGCCATCTTCTTTAGATTCCTTTTTCACACTTCCTAAGATCTAGTAACTCTGTCTCCTCACCTCCAACCCCCTCAACATCACATATTACACCTCACCCATGGGTCTTTGTCCACCATCAGAAACCGTAAACTCTTCTGCAAATCTACTGTTTATGTTGTAAAAATTAATTGAACTCAGCATTTCTGTATATTGTGACAAAGCTATAAACACCTTAATAGCAACCGTTTGGTTTAAGGTTGTATACTGGTTGTACTGGGATCTGCTAACATTGTTCTTCGTATAAAAGGAGAAGTATTAGAACACTGCAGGGACACTATAAGCCTAAACTGTAAAAACCAGTACCGCTGTGGATCCTCAGTGCTAGAAGGAAAGATACACAAACAACATGAAAAAAACAAGGGAAAAAATGCCCCCCCCAAATCAAGATACAACATTATTATAATCCATGGCTAACACAATAGAAGAAATGAGAGAGAAGGAGTTCAGGATGTACATAATTAAAATGTTCTGTGAATTAAAGGATGGTATAAGAGAATAAGTACAGGCAGCAAAAGATCATTTCGATAAAGAGCT